TTGGGCCAACACAAGCCCAATTACATAAATAAAATCTAAAACATAAATAAAGTCCAACTAAAAATAAATAAAAAGTAGATGTCCTCATCACCAAGTGTACACACTTAGTCGAATAAAGCCACAATCCAACGATTCTTGTAATTGAAATTTTAACTCCTGAAGTTCCTTTGAAGTCACATTCTGTATGGAGCTTTAGATACTGGTGCCGCTCCGAGAACCAAATCTATTGTGAACTCCACCTGTCTATCTAGTGGATTACCAGGTAGTTCTTCTGGAAACACATCTATAAACTCTCGTACCACTAGTACGTCCTCAATCTTTATTGTCGTCTATTTTTCTTCTGAAATGTTAACTAGAAACCCTTGGTACGTTTCTTTTCTCACCATTTTCTCAGCTTGCAAGGCCTATACTATTTGGAGATGGGGTTTGGTCTTTATTCCGAGGAAAGAGAATTGCTTTTCTCCTAGTTTCTGAAAGGACACTTCCCTCTCTCTACAACGAATGGTTGCATAATTACATCCCAACCAACCCTTGCCCAAAATCACAACGAAGTCTTTCATCTCTATCAGATACAAATTAGCTTCTAATGTTTTTCCTTCGATTTCAAGATTTACCGACCTAGCTAACTGATATGCATTTAATGTTATACCTGAGAGGACACTAACTTCTAGTGTACTTTCTGACTTCTCACAAGTAATATTAGATTTAGCAATGAAAGACGTTGATACAAAACAGTGAGTAGCTCTCGAATCAAACAGGACATAAGCAGGTGTATTGAATATCAGTAAAACACCTGTTATTACGTTTGAATTTTCCTCTGCATCCTTCTGAGTCAGTGTAAAAACTCGTGTTTTTTCCTTTTTATTCTGATCACTGTTATCATCCTTCTTTTGAATGAACAAAGGACAATCCTTAACAATATGTCCTGGCTTACTGCACCGAAAACAGGTATTCTTCCCATACAAGCATTCAACACGATAAAGCTTACCACACTTCAGACAATGCGCAACTGTAGCTACTATGGCCTTGTTGGCACTAGATTCAATGTTAGCCTTCTTATTTTGCCATTTGCCTTTTCCTTTGTCTTGATCATTCCACATCCTCTTTCCAATATGCCCTCTATCTTGCTGGTTGTACAATTAACGGTATTGCTCCGCATTAGCCTTCTGATACCAAATAGCGTGAGCTCGTTCCAACATCTCACGATATGATGTGAAACAATGTGACATAAGGATCATGCTTAGGTCTAGGTTTAAACCTTGCTCGAACCTTCTAGTCTTCTTAATTTCCGTGTCAACAAGGTGTGGAGCATATCTTGAGAGTTGATCGAACTTTCATTCGTAATCAGTCAACATATGACCCTGTTTGAGCTGAAGGAATTCGCTTTCCTTGAAATCTCTTAGAGACTGAGGAAAATACTTGTCCTACTTCCTCTTTAAATTGTTCCCAAATTAACATCAATTGCTGCTCCGGGGTTCTAGTCTGAGACATTGAATCCCATCAGTAACTTGCATCACTAATAAACATAAACTCCGCACACTGAACCTTTTGGGCGTCGGTGCAGTCTATGAGTCGAAAAATACGTTCTAGCTTACGAAACCATTCCTCAACTACTAGTGGACCAGATGCTCCATCGAAGGTAGGGGCTTATGCCTTCGAAATAACTAAACCACCGAGGCATGAGTCGGGAGAGTAATAGGAGCTGGCGGTGTAGGTGGATCTGGGTTCTGATTAAACCTGCCAAGATCTTGAACCGCTTGTAGGAGATCCCGTATCAAATTGTTCTAGTTTGCACGAGACATTCCCTAAAAATAAGATATAATATCTCACATTAACTTCTTTTTCCAAAATCAGGATTAAAATAGGGAAATATTTTAAGCTCGAACCACAATTGATTTTTTTTTTTTTTTGAATTATTAAAAGTACTCCTTGAAATCAAGATTTACAATAGTTCGACGACCTTTACTTCCATAACATTAAGGAAAAGATAACACGAGGAAAAGGAATCTAATTTCTAATCCCTATGAATTTTGCGAATCTTCTTTGGTGAAGCTTCATCTTCGAAGTCTTCTGCCTCAAGCCCCGACTCTAGGTCCATCTCAACATGTGGCCCATGCTCATGCTCACTCTCTAATTCCAACCCAAAGTCATTCTCATGCTCCCATTTTGGGATTTTCCTCTGGGTCCGATTCAAACTGGGGTTCTGGCTCGAGGTCAGGCTCAATTACTATCTCCAGTTGAAGTTCTAAGCTCTCACTCCACCTGTCTAGAAGGATCTGACAGTATATACCGAATTCAATTGCATTTGGGTGCTTTGGAAGGTTACCTTCTAGCATCTCATCCCTAACCATGACTCCCATGCTTCCCCATTGAGGTGGAAATGAGTGTATGAGGTTATTTACAGCCTCGATATGCGTGATCTCCAGTCCTGCATCTACCGTCGCCATACATCTCTCGTAAATGTCATGTATGTGTTCAAAAAGCGGACGAGATGGGTCAATCAGGTAGTTCTCATAGGATTGAATGATAGACCTACAGTTCAACGCTCTTCTACAAGCTGTGGCCTTTCTAGCAGTCTAATAAATTCTAACCATGTCTGTCATATAAGTGTCCAATTATGTTTTTTCTCTGTTAGTGATATCAACTTATACATTATGCTTTTGAGATTTCAATAAAATAGTTAATCATCATTTCATGTATATATAAACAAAATATAACTTACATAACATATTTCATCGTAAATATTATTAGCATTTTCATAGATTCAAGTTTAAATGATTCATAAATCATGCTCGAAAAAATAAAGTGGAACATAATATTTTATTCCATACCTTGGATTCGTCGGATGAGGTCAATTGATGGATGCAAAATGCCATGAAATGCCTTAAATGTTTCACTTTCTCATCTTTTAATTTTTTTTTTTTTTTTAAATATGCTAAGTTTACAGAATCTACTAAACTCGTGCTCTGATACCACGCTGTAACACCCCGACCCGCAAGGATCGAAACGTCGCTAGATTAATTATACTTTTAGCCGTAAACTTAAAAAAAATAACTAAACTTTTAGAGGAAATTATAAAGATTTAATTTAAGAATATTTTTTTTTTTAAAAGGACAATAAATAACAACATAACTCAATACAAAGAAACTAATTCCTAATATTTTCAGGTGACATCCATGTATAAATACATTTTTGTTGCGTGAAATTCTACACAAGAATTTAAAAATAAATGTTGTTGTTTGACTTCCCATATCTGCGCAGTAAGTTTTAAAGTAAACTCATTTGCATAGTAATCTACATCGAAACTTTAAGAGAAAATAGGGGACTTCTCATAATATATCCAAAATTCAGCTTTTGTTGGTGACATATGAGATGTTAAAATATTTTTCAAAACCTCACAACTACTCGATTTGGAAAGTAACTCAGCGCAGCATACTTAAGGTGGCATATAAAATTTCATAGTTATTGGATTGACAAGATTTTGAGTTTATTCAGTAGCTAATCCATGAGGCTATTAAATTCCACCGGTTTTGTCCAAAAATCCCAAGTAGCGATTGAGTTACGAATTTTTAAGTTCAATGGCAGAAATTGGAATTTTCAGAAAACAGAAACACTATGTTTACTTAAAGTGACATATAAAATTTTACCGACATCGGATTGACGTGATTCTAAGTTTATTCAGTAGCTAACTTATGAGGCTATCAAACACCATAGCTTTGTTCAAAAATTCGAAGTAACAAATTAGTTATGAATTTTTAAAATCTAAGTAGAAACTGAAATTTCCAAGAAAATAGTAACATTAACTAGTTGACATTTTTTTTTTTTTTAAGACGGTGTTTCGTAAGTAAATTCTATATCACATATATATATTTTTAAACATAACCTATTTATAAGAAAATGTTCGTAGAAATAGTTTCATATACGATGTCCAAAGAAAAGTAATTAATATGAAACACAAATATTTCATAATCAATTTAAAGTTGTTAATTCACCGACTTTTTCATGTCAAATTGCATCTTCAACCACTATCATCCGCGTCCCCAAAAAAAGAACAAAATTCAACCC